TGTGCCGAGAGGTTCGAAGCCAGCCAAGTCGAGCCAAGCCAGCCCGCGCGCGCGCATGCATAAAAGCAAAGCTGTGGCACACGGGGGCCTTGAAGTGCGGCCAAGGAGAGGAAAAAATTGGTGGGTCTTTCAGTCTTGGATTGCCATCGTGTGTGTTTTGAGCGTGTGTGTGTGTGTGTGTGAATTCCCGACTGCAAGGTGTACGCATGGCAAGACTGCCGAAGCGCCTGAAGGGTAGGCAATGCCCTGCACGCGTGCACGGCGGGCTGGCCTACGCTGTAGGCGCCTTCAACGCCCGCGAGGTAGGCAATGCCCTGCACCCGTGCACGGCGGGCTAGGCGCCTTCAACGCCCGCGAGGTAGGCCGCGGGCTGCAGCACGGCTGCGCGGCGGGCTGGCCCACGCTGCGGTGGCCAGGCGGCCCCCACTGCAAGCAGTGCAAGCGACTGGAAGTGCTCTGGAAGTGCTTTGACAGTGCTCTGGAGGTACCTGGCAGCCGGCTGGCGGCTACAGAGCCAGGTACTTTGTCGCCGCGAGATTAACAGTAGTTAATCTTGTGGTTCATGTGCCGGCGGTGACAGGTGAGCAGGGACCGACAACGCGAAGCGCGCCGTGCCGCGCCGTGCCGTGCCTGCCGGGTACGGGGCAAAGTCCTCGCCAGGATGCGGCAGGTGCATCAGCGAGTGCATCACAGAGCGCGCCTCACTTACCCCTCGGCCGCGGCACGGCTGCGCGCCTGCACTGCTATGGCACTCGGCACGTACTTTCCAGGGCCGCCCCTGCCGCCCCGCGAGCCGCCCGTCCGATTGACAGAGCCTGCCGAAGCCGGAGCCGGCTAGAGAGGAGAACCCCAGGCCGGCGTCTTTACGAGGGGGACTTTTTTTACGGCGCGGCTATGACAACGATACTAACCCGTCGAGCAAAACCGAAACCCCCGCGTCAGACTTCATCATTTTCCCACTTTTTGTGCGCCTTTTCGGTGGAAAAGGGGAGGAGACGGCCGAGGACCTCTGGCGGTGCGTCGCCGCGAGTGAGCCAACGGAAGCCCGCCGCACCGCACCGCGCCGCGCATCCAGAGTTACGCTGCGTTCAAATATCGCGCCGTGCCGCACGCGTTACCCGCACCTGTCACGGCGGGGCGGGGAGAAGCGGGGCGGGGCGTGCGCGTCACGTTAGGGGGTTACGTCCGTGGCGCACCGCGACCCACGACCGGCGTCACAGCGCGCGGTGCGCCACGCGGTGCACTCCGTCACGGGCTGTGACGCGAGCGGGCCAGTGTGCTGTAATGAGAGTGTGTGTACGTGTGTGAGCGAGAGAGAGAGAGAGAGAGAGAGAGAGAGAGAGAGAGAGAGAGAGAGAGAGAGAGAGAGAGAGAGAGAGAGAGAGAGAGAGAGAGAGTCGTGCGTGCAAAGTTCATAAACCCAACACAAACCAGGTAAAATACCAACAGAACAGCAATTTGCAAAAAGTGAGTCATTTTTAAATGAGGCATTTTATTCAGTGAGCAGAGGGCACTGAGCGACCATCTTCATCCGTCTCGGACTGCACTGCACTGCGCGCGGCCCGCCCGCCGGCAGCAGCGCGCCGATACAAAGCGGTCGCTGATGGTACTAATACCGATGAATAAGGCGCGGGTCACGACGTGGGAACAAGCAGGGATAAGGGACCCCCCTCCACTGGCCGGCGCGGCGAGCACGGCACAGGATTGTGCGGCGCGTACATTAGCCAGGGAAAGTGTGGAGAAGGTGAAAGCTGGAGGGAGGAGGGACGAGGACGGAGAGATGTGGAGGGACCGTGTTATCACCTGTGGTGGCCGCGCGGCTCGGCGCGGCGCGGCGCGGCGGTCCAGAACCAATTATCGGTTCGAGTGGAAGGACGTAGGACACCCGTGGCCGGTACGTCAAACGGTGACCTTCTGGAAAGGGCTCGGTGCTCGGGCCGCCCCGCCCAGCCAGATCGGGCGCGAGGAGATAGACGCCGAATTCACGACCGCGGCCGGCACCGCCAGCACCTGGCCGTCGACGAGGCGGACAGTGCAGGCACCCCCGCAAAGGCCGGGCCGCAGGCCGGGCCGCAGGCCGCAGGGCGAAAGGTCGCGCCGGCCACGGTCATGAGGGCGGCCGGGCCGGCCAGCACCGCCGGCACCTCGGCGTCGTCGTCCATCACGCACCAAAGCAAACACGGTGCAGGTGGTAATTGCCCCTCCGTCCGAGGCCCTGCCGGCCTGCCGCCCTGCAGCACCGCGCTCGTTACTCTCGACATGACGGTCATGACCAATGGCCGAGCCCGAGCCCGCCAACCTAGCCCACCTACTGTGAACCCTTCCTTTTTTACGGGCCAACAAACCGCTTACACACACGCACCCACTTGTGTGTTTTTCGAGTGTAGGCCGCGCGGCCTCGCCGTGCCGTCATGCAGCCAAATGAAGCTGCTGCATGCCCCGGCCTGCGGGTTTAGCAACAGTGTGGCGACCGAGATCCTCTTAGGCTGAGCCGCGATGGATGGCCGGGCCTGGCAAGCTCATTCCGAACTGCGCGCTGTCGCTCCGTCTCTCTCGCACTCGCGGGGCGTCCCCGCGGCCGTAGGGGTGCGAGAGAGACAGCGGTGCCCCGGCCGTTGCCCAACCCGCGATCACACAGCGCCTTCTATAGGTAGAGCACCGCGTCCACCTCGTCCACCCCGAGCAGCACCGTCATCCCGGAAAAGTCCCGAGACGCGACCACGACCGCGATGCCGCCTTCGGCCAATTGCAGATGCACGGCGCAGGGCGGCCGCCGGCCGTCGTGCAAATAGGGTTCGGCGAGGCAGACGACGCGGCGGCACGACAACGGGGCGCTGCAAATGCTGCAAAGGCGAGGTGGTTGTTGACTGCGGCGGTGACCGACGGACGTCGCAGACGCAGCCGCGCACCAACCTCAACGCCGTAGTGTCTCTCTTGCACGCTCAGGGGACGCTCTGAGGGTGCGAGAGAGACTTCCCGTTCGGCACTAGTCCTGCCTGGGTCAGCCACCTCCGGACCTCCGGTCAGAGTCCCGCCACCGCGTCCTGCACTGCTGCACGTACGGGCCCGGCCCGTCCGGTAGACCACCGGACGTCCCCAAAACAAACCAGTTCCACGCGCCGGCCGCGCGGTCACTGCGCCGCCGTGCACCGCACAACCTGACTGTGGCCGCTCCATTTGCAGGCGCGCGTCGTCGGGTGGGGTCCTCTTGGCGAGCCCCTCGGTCCTCGCGAATCCGGCCGAAACAATGGCGGGTCATTACAGGCCGCGCCGGCCCAAACAGCTGGCCGTGCCACGCCGTGCCGCGCCGAGTGAGCCACGTGCCCAAGAAGGGCGGGGCGGGCAAGTGGCGGTCCTCAGCCCCAGCGAGTCCCCCGTCGAGTTCCTTACTGCCATACACGACGCGCCAATACGGTGGCCCCGGAAATGAGGCGCCTGCCAACAACAACAACAACAACAACAACAGAAGAGGAGGAGGAGGATGACGGACCAGACGACAATAACCGACTCGTCGTTGTTGTTGTTGTTTCCTTGAAACGGTCCCCGCGGCGCGATTCTCCATTCGGCCGCGGCGCGGGCAGGGCAGGGCAGGCAGGGCAGGTCCCAGCGGTTACATAATCCCCCGAAAATTCCATCGGGCCATTCACACACACACACACAGGCACACTCAGTCACTCACAGAGGCGACCGAGGTGGTGGACAGCGCTTTGTAATCGCGGCTTCCGACTGTACGATCGGCCCTAAGTTACCGGGGGCTAATCCCCTCGCCAGCCAGGCGCGGCTCGGCGCACCCAGTCCCCCGGTCGGTGTCCCGTCGTAAAGCAAAAAGGACGATGGACCCCCGGAGACCCCTGGACCACCTGTCCCGTCGGCCGCTAAACACTGCGTGCTTCCTGCGAAGCAAAGGCCGGCCCGGCGGGCCACGCCACTGGAAGCGACTGGCTGCCGCGAGGAAGTGGCGACCGAAGACCGAAATTGAACGGGGCCGGCCGCGCGAGCCTCTTTTTTGCAGGGGTTATTGTTGTTAAAGCAGACGACCCGGAAGCGGTCCTGCACCGCGAGGTCAAAGGCGGCGCGGCACGGCGCGGCACGGCAGGCCGCGGTGCCGCCCATCCCGAGCAACACGTCCATCCTCGGCGCCGCTCCGCCGTGTTGTGGTCGCGCCCGGTCAGGCTTCGGTCCGGAACTAGCACTTGAGTGTTGGGATTGCCTTGTCGGCGTTCCTTCAATTTTCCCCCCGACTGGATGATGGCATGGTCGAGCAGGTTGCTTCGAAACGTCTTTGAAGCGGACGGAGTTATCATTTCTCCACTGGAACATTTCTGGCAAAGAGTCGTTTCCAGTGCTCCCTCCGTGGCTGGGGGCCGTGGTGGCACGCGGCGATAGCAGGGCCAGCAGACTGAGAGTCGTGCGAGAGAGACAGCGTGACGAACACGCCTCCCTGAGTCAGTCTACAGCCCCCCAGCCGGCCAGCCCCGCCGGCCGAAGACAGCCAGCCAGCTGATAAGCCCAGCCAGACTGCCAAGGACGGCTCCACCCCCAGGCAGCCTGCCAGGCGGCCGCAGACCCAGACGAACGCTTCGTGGTGTTCCAGAATTGGGAGAGGAGCGCCTCAGGGCACAGCACCGGCCCACGCCTTGGTGCCTTGGTATGCACACGCCACACGCCCCTCCCCGGCCACAGGTCTTCTTACAATGTGTACAGGTGCGAACACTACTCGGGCCAGGCCGGGCAAACGCAGTCAGTCACAGTGCACGTACTATTCGTTTTCAAACTCTTGAATTTTTGGCAGCAGCCTTTAGAGGCACTCTCCTCCAGTCAGCGGCCCAAACCACGCCATGGATGCCACTGTTGTACAGTGCAGCGTGCAGTACAGTTTTTCTCCAGGGGCCGCGTCAGCGCAAACAAGAGTGCGAAACCGAACACCTCTCGGTGGATTTAAGTGACGCCGGCGGTAAAGGCCGGTGGACTTCCCCGCCGTGGAGGCCGTGCAGGCTCACCTTCTCGCCGCGACTGAGGAACTCCCACATGGGGATGGCCGAGCCGGACACTAATCCACTGGTGACGACCACCAGGAAGGCGACGAGGGCCCGCATGCTGGTGGAGCACAACACAGGGCGCAGCAAGTACGAGCGCACACTCGCGATCACGCAGTTCCCGCGCGCGGCGTGGTGGAGGCGGTGGTGGAGGCGAGGTACCGCTCGGCCCGCAGTCGAGTCTCGATTGACGGCGACAGCGGCTCGGCTCGGCACCGTGCCGCCCGGCCCGACCAGGCCACCGCCCGGCGCGGCGCGGCGCAGCGGGGCGTTCTCGCGGTCCGAGGCTCGGCTCGGCTCGGCTCGGCTCGACTCGGCTCGACTCGGCTCGGCTCGACTCGGCTCGGCTCGGCTCGACTCGGCTCGGCTCGACTCGGCTCGGCTCGGCTCGGCTCGACCTTGCGCCGCAGTTGGCGCTTCGGCCGCTCTCCAGCGCGGCGCCACCGTCGCGTCTCGCCCGGCGCGCCTGCTTGCGGCGTCGACACCCCGGCCAGTGTCAGGTGGCAAGGGCTGCTGCCTTTCAGCGCGCGGGGGAGGATGGGCAAACTGTGCAGAAGCGGCTGAAATGTGTTACGTTTCGGCAGCACCGGCCTGGGCTGTGCTGGGCTGCTGGGAGACTGGTCCAGCGCCGAGTCGCTTTCACGCCAATGTGGACGAGGCGCGGCCAGAGGCGCGTCGCATTGGGACTGAAGCAGAATGAAACACATAGCGATCGACGGCCATTTTCCACACGTCTCGTCTCGTCTCGTCCGTCATTGCCACATCCCTCTTACTGTCTGCGGGCCGCGCGTGAGTGACTGTCCTCCGGGACGACCGGGAGAGAGGGGGCCGAGGAGGGTTGCCTGGTATTTGAGACTAACCTCGCATTCATTTCGGCGTGCTCGGCGTGCTTGGCAATCACGTAGTATACCCATGTCAGCGCGCGCACACACACACACACACACACACACACTTTACACAGTGCCGCAGGGGCGCTCGCTTGCTCGCTTGTCGGAAGATATCATCCCATACTGGCCGCGCTGATCCGCCAGATAGCCGTGTTGGGCGACGTGCCGTACGCTTGCGGCTCGCGGCGTATGGCGCGCTGAACAAGACATGCCCGCCGCGCGCCGGGCACAGGGCCTCGACAGGACCATGACGCACTACGATGGACGTCCCCGATGACGGACGTCCCCGACGACGGCCGCCGTAGCAGCGCGGCGCTCACGACGCTCTTGGTTCTTTCAGCAGTGCTGCTGTTTTGGGAGTCCGTGGCGAATGCGCTTTGTGGCAAGCGGCCCGCAGGATGTGGCGTTAGTCACCGCTCGATGTTCCACGCCGAACGGCAGCGCACCCACACAGTGTCTCATTAGCATGTCCTCTTCTCTACGATCCAGCTTTCCGATGCGATGGATGGACGCACGAAATGCAGGCAGCGCCTCGCCTCGCCACGCCCGCGCGCGTGCTCCGTTATGTAATGACGAGGTCCTGCGCGAGTGTGCGTGCATTGTGAGTGTGAGTGCGCTGAAGGGGGTTGATTAGGCTGACGCTGCATAAGGATCCATCCTCATCGATCCGCGCGCCCCTTGGTTTGGCCGCCAAGCGCAGCCAAGAGCGCCTCCCCACTCCTTGGAGGCTGCCGACTTGGTGTTGCTGGTGATCTGCACGACGGAGCGGCTCAGGCGAGTAGAGTGAGTAGTGGAGCTGTAAAACACACACTCGGCATAGCCACCCAGCACTTCACTTCCTGCAAGCCGTCGTCGCCGTGCTCGAGCCAGCCCCAGCCCCGTCCCGCAGCCGCCACCCCTTTGCGAGTTTCTCTCGGGACGCTGGGCTGGGCGACGCCATGGCGACGCCGCGAGCGACGGCGGCGGTGCGTTCAGACTTGGCGAAATGTGGACGAGTCCGCCGCGCCGCCGTCCACGGCGATGGCGGCGATGATGGCCGCCTCGCGGAGAGGACGCCGCGGGCGGAGCAGCGCAGCGCTGGGATCTGCCGGGCCAGCTTTGACTTACGGACGCGTTAAATCGGTCCCGCGGCCCCGCGGCCCCGCCCCTCACCGCAGCGCGATGAACTTTTCGCTGAACGGCCGGCCGAGGCAGGTTCCGAGACGATGAGTCGATGAGCCTAGCAGCCCCGGCACAACAACGATAACGTTCAGGAAGGCGGCGCGTCCGCCACCACCGCAGTGCCGTTGTTGGGCCGCCAGAGACAAAGAGCGCCCCTGCCCTGCCTCTCTCACTCCTCCCGGAGCACTCCGCCAGTGCGAGAGAGGCAGAGAGCGCTGTTCGGATCGGCGTGCCGCGTCATCGGCAGGCGATATCTCGTCGCAACTATCGATGAGGAGAAAACAGAGACGGAGCTCCGCTAGCGGGTCGGTGCAGTGGACGTGTCCGGATAAGCGACCCGCCGGGGGACGACGACGCCGAGGCAGTGCCTTTCGCGGAGCGGCGGAGCGCCGACCTGGAGGGCCGCCATGCGCGCCGACGCCGATGTACGAGCGAATTATCTCTCATTTTATAACTCGTATTATTTATCGGGCCATCATTCATTCCGGACAGTGTCCGTGCCGACAGAAAGACTCAGCCTTCCGTGTTGACTGGAACGTGTGAGGTGGTCTTGATTCTGCGACGCCGTGACGCCCGAACGGCGGCCTGCAGTGCCTCGACGGGGGCACCGATCAGGGTTCAAACCAGTGTGCAGGCTGGAGCCTCCAGTGCCCGGACTGGAGTCGTCGTTGCGGCAAAATCCCCGGCAAAATCCGTGTTCCCGGAGGCCGGCGTCGCGCCGTGCACCGAGGCCGGTGGGGGTTCGACGTCCTCGCCCTGGCGCGGCGCGGCGTGCGGTGTCGCGTCGTGCCGTCCGAGAAGTGATCCGTGCCATCCCTCTCCTTTTGCACGGCTGCCGCTTGCTGCCGCTTGCCACCGCTTTCTCTGGCGTGGCGCAGTTGGACGTGGACATCTCACGAGCTGATTGAGACGCTCTGCTCTGTACTTATCTTTCCCCAGTGGCGTGGCGCGCGACGTCCCCGTGCGGTTATGCCCCGCGACGTGTGACGCCGTCGTCGTCACGTCGAAAGCATGGCGCCGGGGTTTGCCCGACGCCGCCCCCGTGAGTGAAGTTTCCCGTCGTAATTCAATCACGTTCACGGCCTCGACGGCGAGGCTGGGACTAGGATCAAAGGTTCGGCGCCACCTACGGCGCGCCGTGTAGGCCCGTCGCTTGCCGCCCGGACGACGTCGGTGGTGTCCAAGTCCGAGCCGTCCTCCCGTCCTCCCAGCAGGTCTTGCAGCAGGCGGCGATGACGACCCCCCGGACGGCCCCGCGCAGCGCCGAGCAGCGCCGCCTCGACAGCCACCGGCTTGCCTGACCTTTCTCGGGCCAATCAGAGCGCACCTCGCACCTCGAGGCGCCGCCAGTGTCGCGCTGTCTCTCTCGCACCCCTAAGAGACGCCCTGGGAGCGCGACAGAGAGGCAGGGCGACGAAACGGCTCCTCGGAATGAGTCTTGAGCGCGCATGCGTGATTTGGCAGCCCTCACGTGATGTAAGCGGAGACAAGAGAAAGCCCTAGGCAGGGCGGGGTGCCTCGCAGTGCCTCGCAGTGCCTCGCCTCGCTGCCGTCCGTGGCTGTCGCTTGCTGTCGCTCGGGAGCCCTTGCGGCTTCTTGTCGGCCGTTGCCGGCGGACTTTGCTGAAGCAAGCCAGGCAAGCGAGCCGCGGTACTGAGGCTGCAGCCGTGAACCCGCACGCATTGACCTTCGCCCTGCCCTGCATGCGGTGCCGCCGTCTGTGTGTGTGCGTGTGTGTGTGTTTGTGTTTTGTACACATGCGAATGAGTATATGGATGCGACGGAGAACGCCCTGGGGTCAACTGCGGGAATGAGTCATAGGCAGTGCGGCCGCATACTGGCACTGGCAAGTGCCAAGACACAAGGGAAACTGCGGGATTATGCGGAGAGCTCTGTCACGCCGTGCCATGTGCCGTTCAGGGAACTTGCCACTCCATTTCCACTGTAGACGCTTGAAGTTTTGATGCTTTATTTGGATGACAGCAGTTTGGACTTGACCGGGGACAGAAGGACGGGGACTTGAAAAGAATATACAAGAACCATGTGAAAATATTTTACACCGTGTGTTTAGCTCTGTGTCAACATGATCCAAAACTTTACATTTTTTACAATTATGACCATTGTTTCTTTTTTCTTGCGGCTTGTTTGTGATTCACAACCGCGACGAATCTTGGGATTAGCCTGTCTGGGTCACGGGCTCGGGGCGCGATCGCCCTATTCAGGGAACGGCGGGTTCCTCTTATACCGAAACCGCAGGCCGCAGGCTGGCCGACCCAGTGTGTGTGTGTGTGTGTGTAGGTGTGTGTGAGTGCACATGTGTATGTGCGAGTGTTTGTGCTGGCGTTCGCGACCGCCACCCGCGAGGCCCCCGGCAGTCCGCGAGGACCGCGATGGCACTGTTGACGGCGAGTGCGTGCCGAAATGTCCCGAGGGACTGGCCAGGCCACTGATCCGCTTCTGACCATGTTTACGCCCACGCGCGCTCATCCGACGCAGAACCGGCAATTTCTCTGTCAGGAAATGGCCGCCGTGCCGCGCCGTGCCGCGCCGTGCCGTGCCGTCGTGCGCGCGCACCGGCCAGCAGCAGCAGCCTGCCGGCCGGCCAGGCTGATGGGGTTTCGGGAAAATGTCGCGGAAATGACCGGCGCAGTGAATGCGTGTTGTCGGCCTTGGGCGGGCGGGCCGGCCGGCCTGAACTGCATTGTCAAAGGCCCGGCCGGCAGACCGTTAGTCAAAGGCAGGCATGCTATCGCTGCTATTTGGCTCTGGATGCCGAACCGAAACCCTTGCCGGCGGCCGAAATAGCGTTCTGCTAATAAGCTAAGCAGATGGCCGTGGATGAGTGGCGATAGCCATCAGCGGAAGAAAGGCGGAGCAACGAGCCGCTACCCAGTGCAGCCGCGTGCGTAGCCGTGCACCCCCACCGGCCGCGCCGCGCGTCGAGCTCGCGACCGTCAGGTTGGTGGTGGCCCTGGTCAAAAGTCAAAAATCACCGACGGCCTCATTTTTTGCTCTGGGTTCGCCGGCACCGGCCGGCACCACCAGGGTCAATCCGACCATGGCGATTACGGAGATGAGCGCAATCCCATGGTCATTGCGGCCCATATGACTGCGCGTCCCAATCCGCGGGCCTACGTTTGTGTGTCAACAACAAGAACAACAACATTCTTTTTGAGTTTTTTTTCTCGTGCTGAATGAAGAAATGCGCCGTACGTCCAGCCTTCGCCGGCGCGGACACATTGTAAGGCACACAGCGCTTGCCGCCTTGCCGCCGCGGCTTGAGGAGGTGCCGCATCACGGAACTTAATAGCGCCGTGACGCCTGTGCGTCTGGTTTTCTGCCTCTCACGTGTCCCAATGGAACCGCGGAACCATGGAACCATGGAACTAAGGGACCATGGAACGGAACGGACGGGAGGCAATGGATCCGCCACCCGCCCAGCGACGGGCTGCTGCGTCTCGGCGTGTTCTCTTCGCCTCGCGAACGGCCAACACTCGGGCCGGGACGCACGTTGGGCTGCCTACCTTGGCCGTCTGCCGGCGCAGCGCTGCCGGCACCGTGACACTGCGGGCGCTGCGGCGCAGCCCCTGCCGTCGACGGGTAGGCCACCTTCCTGCATGAACCGAGGAAGGGATGCCCACCTCTCAGGCGTTCTCATCGCGCCGCGCCTTCATTCTCAAATCTCGGACAGTTTCGGGGGCTTCCTGTTTCTGGTCTCTATTTTCTCATTTCTTTCGAGGGGTTGGGTGAAGGGGAAACGTCGAAGACAAAGAAAGAATCATCAAACAGAATGTGAAATTATTTCTGTTTATTTAATAGAGGTCACACCAAAACTCTGTCCAATGGAGGAAAGCACTGAACTACTGATGTTTTTAACATATATTTTCAAAAGCGAATAATCTCATTAAGCATACATAAACTGACAAATTTGCATATTTTTTTAAAGTTTTAATTTGCAAAGAACAAACGTAATCTCACTTTTCAGTTGATCAAACAACTCCCTTTTTACATAGATGCCCAGCATTTCATGTTTAGTGCAATAATGCGTTGGTTTTGTTTTCAAAATAAAGTAAAACGGCTCAATAGTGACATTGTAAAGGAAATACATTTTCGTTTAAAAATAACAAATTATACTTATCATGCTCATTTCTCCCAAAGTCATGGTTTTTTCCGGTATACACTCTTAAACAAATCAAAACAATCAAGAAATATCTACAAGAAACTGTATCAAAGGAAATATATACAACAAAGAATATAAAATTGTTACGGAACAGGAAAGTTAAATAAACATAAAAGATGAAAGAATAACAAGACAATTCTCATCTATCACCGTGAATTGCACACTGAAATAGCACTGATACGTATGTCATAAAGATGAAGCACAGAACAAGAAAATCAATTTTCCCAGACATGTGCTAGGTAATAAATACAGTAATAAAATTCATTGTGCTGAGCACCAAAATTACAATAATTACGTCTTTCTTCTAAGCTTGAAATCCAACAAAGTAAACTTCTTAAAGTACGAAATACTACAACGCATGCTAGCTTTGCTGGTAACAAAATAATCAATGATGCTGAAAGGTACCCACTTCCCAAATCAACATCTTCATAGCTCGGCTAGATTTAAACTTCAAAGAGAACCCTCTGCCACAAGCATAATTTGAGTACAAAAGAGCACATACAGCCATTTCTATTAAATTTTCCTTATCAAATTGTAGACAGTAGTCTTGTTTTATTTTAACATTGCTCCTACCAACTCAAATCAACCTTGTGGCTAAATTTAAATATTCAGACACATGACACTTCACCCGTTTGCTTTTTTTATTTGTTGCAACATTATCATCAAAATAAATAAAATAATTCTATGAAACTGTACACATTACTCTCAGAATACTCATAAATAAATCCTCAACTTTCCCACATCTACAACCGGGTGCGACCATAGCGATATGGCATGGGACCGCGCCAGGAAGTTGCAACAGTGAAAATTTTTAATGGTAATTAAGCCACCTTATTCGCCTAGTCAATCTCCTCAAGAGGTCTCAAACGATTTTAGGCCTTGGTAAACATTAGCAAACGTGAGGTGCGATGTCGTGGTTCTGGTTTAGACTGGACGACATGGTCTGCTGGAAAGACACTAAAACACATTGAACTGAAAGGACCGCGAAGGGTTTGTCCTGTTTCCATGGTTTTCGGCACAGTCGGCCCGACGGTTCGTTGCTACAGAATTACCAAAGTGCATCGGACTGGCGCTGAACCGCATTTGCGCCAAGAGAGGGGCAGCCAGGATCGCAATCCCTCCATGGCGCGCGGGGTTGCCTACCTCGCAGGCAGCCGTGGCAGCCGTGGCGCAGTCACAAAAACACTCAGACTTTCTTTTACACAAAGCGAAGAAGACAAGAAGCTTCCGACAGCAGGCTGCGGGCTATCCTGGTTGTTTTCTCAACGAAGAACACGAAAAAATATTCTGAGAACCTTCGGTAATTCATTTACAATGGAATTAACAGTAAATTGTACATCTGTAAGAAAATAGGCATTTGAACACCTGCAACCGCGAGATCTAGGGATATTTTTCATTATAAAACTACGGCTAAACACTACAATCTACCCGACCAAAAGGCTCGTAAGGTCTCCATTATGGATGTCTGCCTTCACATCAGTACGCATACACTAATAGTAAGGTAACGGTAACCACGATGTCGCTGGTGACGTCCTTAACGGATACACATATCACATATTTAGTCTACAAGTATTTTATGTAAATCTCACACTTTTTGTAATAGATACTTTCTCTTTTGGATAAATTTGGACATAAGACATGCTACGATTACATAAAATGCTTATATGTACAAATCGGAGGTAGCAGTTTCATTCCCTACCAGTTGGATTACAAAGTCAATAAGAACATTGGGTCACAATCTTTCTAATTCAAAACTAAATCATAATGTATGACCACTTTTCATGCACTACTAAAGCAACGAAATATGAATAAAACATCACAACGTCCAAACCTCCATTCGAAGAAACGAACAAGATTCTTACAGAGAGCAATTTCATCATCGACAACAGTGTCTTGCAACAAAATTAAAACGAAAACAATATCAACTTACTAGAAAAATTTACAAGTCTGAAATAGAAACAGAACAATGCAATAAATAGATAATAGGATATGAACAGTATCAAAAATAATGTTAAGCAATTTACAATACGTAAAGAGAGCTGCACTGCATTGTCAGACTTGAATACAAATTTATCCAGTTTTCCTCAAACATAAATCAGGAAGTTTCCCTTTGTACTTGCATTTACAGACAGCTTGTTCTTCACAGATAAACAATTTTAAAAATTAACAGAATTCACAAAACAATAACCAAACTATAAGCTGTCCCAACTTTTACACACACATGGGAACACCTGGAAAATTTGTTGTCAAGTAACACTTCTACAGTTTTAGGGAAGCCCAGTGAAACTGTAACCAGATTTAACAGAACTTCTTTTGCAGTTAACAGAGGTTGCAATGACAGTGACAGTAAGAAGTAAAGAACAGACATCAAGAAATAAAAGACTAACGGCAGTCGGCTCCTTGAATGTAAGTAAATAGTAACATTTTCTGCGGTATGGAAATAACATTCATAATTATGTACAATAAACGAAAAAATAGCCTTAGTATAAGCTAATCTCTGTTGACTTCATATTCAATAATTTTAACCTGGGATAAGAATACAAAAAGGCTCTTGTCTGGTGGATGTCCCTTTCCGCAGAACACTACTTCACACGTCGGGTGGAAATTTTGCAACTTGATCTCGTAGTACCATATTTTCTTTCTTCAGCCGCTCTATCTCCTGCCTGAGTCCCATGTTCTGAAAAGATAAAAATAAAAGGGAGAGAGTTAGTAAGTTGCAAACAGCATTGAAAAGGGTGTGACGCAGAGGAGAAAAGGGTTCCTCACCTCTTTTTCGAGGTAACCTGCCCGCAGCGCTATCTGGTTCTCCTTCATGCGGCGAGCGTCTCTAGACCGCTTGGCAGCCATGTTGTTCTTGCGTCTTCGCGCCCAGTACTTTTCATCCTTGAGACCCTCGGGAACGAACTGGAAGTCGCAAACCCTCTGTTATTTTACGGAGTAAATGCTTCCCCCACAAGTGAGGCGCTGCCGGTTTTCGATGCGGATAAACTCACCTGTTTGCGGGACTTCTTGATCATGGGCTGCGGCTTGAGCTCCTCGTCCGAGAAGGGCCGCGTCCTGGGGTCGAAGTCGCGACTCGACGACGCGAACGACATTGCTGCGGGCGGGGAGAGAGCTCAGTCAGTTCGGAAAGGCCTGACAGCGTGCTCGCGCACGTGTCGTCTCAACTACTTACTGGAATCGGCGGGCGAAGGAGGGTTGAGTCCAATGGGGGTCATGGGCTCCGAGGGGCTCAGGGATCGCTCCCTCTTGGCGGGCAAACGGGCGGGGGTGAGGGGAGGGTCCGGCCCCACCCCCACCATGTCGTGCAGCCCGAAGCTAGAACTGTTTGTGTCGGGGTCCGGCGACAGCGCCTGGGAACGGACAGCACGAAATCAGTCAGGCTCGAGCACAAACAGAGAACAGACACCTACAAAGCTCGTACTCTTGTCAAATGGTTGGCACAAAGGACGAAACCCCAGCGCCCTAACAACCAAATTCATATAAACAAATGAAGGCAAGTCCATTAAAACAACGTTTAACGAACTCGTTAAGCAAAAAGAGACCCGTCTATTGGTACAGAACCTGCAGCTTGTGCAACTGTTGTAACTGTGGCGCCTGTTGCTGCTGCTGCGGCTGCTGCTGCTGCTGGGGGCTGTTGCCGGCCGGCGGCACGGGAGAGGGCAGCATGTTGGTGCTGCCGATGAGGTTGGGTGGCTGCTGCTGGGCCACGGGCACGTCCATGGGGATACCATTCTCGGACAGGAACTCGTCCAGGTCCACGTACTGCAACACGGGGAACGGGAGTTAGAGCGGGGTCGCGCGCCTGGAGGGCAGGCAACCCGCCCACACCGGCGTCTTGCGGGCCTGTTAAGGTCTAGCCCGTAATGGTAATGGCAATGGGGGTAGGCAACCCGACCACAGGGGTGTCTTGCGGGCCTGCCGGCCGCGCTGTGACAGGCGCTCAGAGTCCCTGCGCGCGCGGGGTATCTCCGGCAGAGTTTCTCTTTCCGCCCGAGGAAAAGGCAGCGGAGCAGCCAGCCGACTCGCCACGGCGGCGAGGTGCTTTTCCTAGAGGGAAAGGCGGAAAACTGGCGAACACGGGAAACTCACCTTGAGGTCGGCATCGTAGGGCAGGGTCTTGTCCCACAGGTTGGGCCCGAGGAAGGCGGCCTGGGCCTCGACTTGGCTCCACAGCTCAGTGTCATCCTTCTTCTGCTCCGGGCTCTCCTTACCCGATCCGGACTTGCCTGGAACACAGCGTCGCGCCACGTGAGTGCACAGAAAGCGGCCCAGAAACGCGCCAAAATCAAAGGAAAAAGGAAATTGGAGATGTGCTTTGCATGCCACTGTCGGCGGTGCGTCCGTCTCGAGTCCACGTGTGGGAAATGGGAAATGATGGGGGCCGTCGGCGGCGTCGGCAGGGGCGGGGGACACGTCGTTGGAGAAACACACACAAAAAGGAAGGCTCGAGCAGGCCGGCCGTCGAGTGGCGTGGCGTGGCGTAGTGACCTTGGCCAGAGAGGCCCGCGGTGCCGCGCAGCTCCGCGTGGTGGATGAGCGTCTCAGGGAAACGCGTCGCGTCCATTGGATCCGTCCCGGCGGTCCGAGCGGTCCGGGCGGTCCGGGCTGCCCGCCGCCTGCAAGCCTTCGGGACCTTGGCTGCCTTGCCTACTGTTCGCTTCTATCTGTCCGCCCGCCGCCGCCCGGCCGTCAGTCCGCCAACCTGCCGCGACCCGGCCGCGGGTCGCCACTGATAACACGGGCGAAAGGGCGTGCGACGCTACACTGCACCCGTTGCAGCGACGCGAAACGCGACGCAACGCGGTGCAACGCGACGCGGCCGTCGCCAACCGGTTCCCCGCTCCTCGGTGACGTCAGGAAACGCCAATCCGCGCTGCCTCTGCCTGAAGTGTGATGCGTTCGGCAGTCCGGCCGTGCAGGCCCAGTCCGTCGTAGTGGCGCCCCTGCACTGCTAGGCCTGCACGGCCTGCACGTGCACGGCCAGGACCTGGCCAGGACTGCCGCCCGCGCCGCGTCGACCCGAGTCCCGAGTCCGGCTGGCTGGCTGGCCGGGCTGCAGTACGGCCCTGGTACGGCCCGGCCGCGCGGCCCGTCCGGGCCCACACTAGAAAGTCGACATTGGCTGTGCGGGGCGGGGATTTTCCGTCCGCTTCGCGCCGCTGGCCGCGGAAAAGCCTTTTCCGCGCGCTTTCCGCCACTGCTCGCTGCTCGTCGTGGAGACCAGGAAGGCCCCTCTCCGTCAACGGGCAGCGCAAAATGGCGACCGCGCTTTTCCTCCTCGTTGCGCGAATTTTCTTTTTCCCGCGCATTTGCGGCGCGACCGCCATTTCGAAATGGGGAGTCTTCGGCGCCACTAATGCGTCCGGAAGGCCGGCCGACCGCCTCAGCCTCGGTGCAGCGATGCACTCGGGCCTCTCGCACTCACGGGCCGCCGCAGGGGCGCGAGAGGGACAGAGCGAGCCGACGGCTTCATTCATCGGTCTCGCCGCCGTCGCTGCATTCATCCACTAATGCCCCTTCGGGCCGCGGCGCCCCGGCACGCTAATGGCGAGCCGGAGCCGTTTTCGTCGCTCTGTCTCTCTCGCACCCGGAGGGGACGCCCCGTGAGTGCGAGGGAGACAGCGCGACGAAAACGACTCTCGGAATCAGTCTGGCGGCCGAGGCAGGCGGACGGAAGAAAGCGATTGGCGCGCTCTCTGGCGGCACCGGGCGGCAGCGCCGCGGCACCGCGATGGGTGCACCTCGCCTTGCAGCATGCTGCATGACGTCGTGAGCTTGTTTTTGCCGCCGCGAAGGCTGCCTGCCTGCCTGCCTGCCTGCACTCCGTGGATTGGATTGGGCCGCGCGGTGGGTGCATCACTGCACGCTTCGGGGACGCCGTCGTCGTCGGCAGCGTCGTGTCCCCGCCGACGCGGCCGCCCCGTTGCACTTAGGACGTGCTCTGCAGCGCCGCGCGCCGCGCTTACTGCAGCCCTGTTGCATCACGGAGCACGGCGAGGCAGGGCGTGGTGGCGGCGCAGTGGCGGTGGCGTCTTCACGGAGTGGGTCAGGCGCGTCAGCCCGTCAGGCCGGAAGCGATGCTGCAGCGCCGAGCGCGCCGAGCGAGCGCCGCCGCAGAGTCCTCTCCTCGCGCTGCGCGTTCGCACACCGGGAAAAGGGGAGACCGTGCGGACGCCCCCCCCCACACAGTCACACACACACACACACGTGAGCGCGCGCTCACAAGCACCGGAAAAAAACACCATAAATCCAGGCACTTGTTTTCCAAGTGTTTGGCTGGCGTTTTCCAGTGCCGCGCTGTCGGTACGTTAGGCTAGGTTAGGTACACTACACCTCCGGCTCCACTCGGCACTCGTTCGCGGCGTTGCCAGCTCGGGACGGGAATCCCATTTCGCCGCAGCCGTCCGTGCGATCGCCATTGGCGCTGGCCGTGCCTATGGCCGCCTAGAGCGTGCCGTGCCGTGAGCAGGCCGTGCAGGCCGTCAACAATAAAAGCAGGCCCGTGCCAATCCGATGCCCGGGCAGCAGCGGGGAGCGTTCGGAACGCGGCGCGTTTCCGGCGGCAACACTCTTTCCCCAAGACTGGCCTGCCCGCCGACGGCCCGCCCCGCCCGGCACCGGATTATGGCCTGGAACTCTGGAACACTCATCGGTGCAAGACAAGACGGCCACCGGGTTCCGTCTCCACCGTCCATCTGACCGCTGTTGCCGCGGCTGCCACGGCCGCCCCCACGACGCACACGATCCAAATATCTTTCCAGGAGAAAGGCCTGGAGCCCGCCTGGAGCCCGCCTGGAGCCCGCCTGGTCCGCAGCCGGCCCGGCCCGAGTTGGCCGAGGTGTGGTGGTGAAAGCAATATATGTGCGACATTTGAGTGCCCCCTCTAAATCACGCGCCACTTTGTGTACTGCAGACTGATTCCGAGAGTTGTTTTCGTCGCTCTGTCTCTCTCGCAGCTATACGAGACGTCCCTTGAGTGCGAGAGAGACAGAGCGACGACAACGACCCTCGGAATCAGCCTGCTGGCTGGACGAGGTTCGGCCCACCACCCAAGCGACAAGCAGCCTGGCAGTGACATTCGCCGCGCCGCCGCGCCCCTATCCGGACGTGCGTCCTTTCCGATCGTCTCGCCAAACGAAAACACTCGCAATCTTTTCTTCCGGTGCGGAATGCAGTGACGCCCGCCGTGGAATGCACCGGAACGCACCGCCACGACGCCGCGACCCGGGGAGACTTGAAGGCGGGGCGGGCCGAGAGAGGGCTAGAGAGGGTTCCGATCCCCGGGCCGGGGGCGCGGCGTCCGCACCTCTGCCTGCGCTGCGCGTTTCGGCCGCCCTGCCGGCCTCGGACTCCTCTCCTCGCTCCACCGACTTTCTTCCGAAAATGAAGGCCGTCTAATGCAGCCCGTCCCGGCAGGCCGGCAGGCCCTCGGCAGGCGATTGTGGGAAAACTACACGTCATTACATTCTTTCGATAGCATGCACGACCGCTACTATGTCAGTGTGCCCGCGCGCGTCCGTGTGTTTTTCGGCCCGTCCGTCCGTCCAACCACCCGCCCGTCCGTCCGCTCGTCCGTCCGTCCGTCCGGGCCGCCGGCGCGCCTGAAAGAAAGTGAAAACAGAGCGAGCCGTGCTTCCTGAAGGACTCCCCCTTCCAGCCACTGTTCCGTCCCGGGCGTCGCGGGCGTCGCGGGGGAGGGACAAGGACTACTGCGAGGACCAAAGAAAGCGCGGGTTCATCTCCCAAAGGATTGCTGGGACTCGCCGAAACGAGCTTCGCAGATTTTCCCAATGGCGTGAGGACGTATCCAGCATCAGGTGACTGATTTCGTCGCACTCATGAGACGTGCCGCATAGGAGCGAGAGAGACAGAGCGACGCAAACGACTCTCAGAATCAGAGTGCAGGCCCGCCGTGTCCATGTGCTGGGGGTCCCGCACACCTAACCGTCCCCAGTTCACCGTTGGAGTCGCTTTTCATTCCGTTGGAGTCCGCCTGCCCTGCCGGCCGTCTGGGGCGTCTGGAGGGTGCAGTCTGGTTTCTGGTGCGTTCGTTCGATCGAAAAGCACATCCGTTTCCAGTGGAGAGATGAGTCGGTTACTCACTAGGTTTCTCGGGGCCCAGCCAGGCATCTTTATTACCTGCGAACAGGAAGAAAAAGCAGCGTTACAGCGGCGGTTCGGCGGGAAGGGCACACAAAGCGCAATGACTCCAGTGGACGAATTGGGCTCCGAGGGGAAGTCCCTCCGGCAGCGCTAGTCGTGGCGAATCGTTAAAGGAGACGGGCGTCGACAGCGCTAGCCAAACATGCGCCCGGTGCGGCCGGGCGGGCCGGGGTGGGGGGCGCCGGGTTTGGTTCGGGCGGCCAGAAGGGGGCCTGGCCGGCCTGGCCCGGGCCGGGCGAAGGCCAGCCACGAAATTGAAAGTGTGAGCTAGTGAGAGTGGAAGCACGAGGGTCCAGAGCAGTGGACTCGGCCGGGTGGAGGGGCGGGGCGTGGCGAGGCACGCGTCAGAGAAAGCACACCATCGTGTGTCAAGTGCAGCCGCCGTCTTATCTCCGGTGACGCAAGGGTCGCGACGCTGGCCGGCCGGCCGGACGGCGCGCCGCGGCGGCCTTCGCGATGACGCGAGCACCTGCGCGACGACCGCCCCCCCGGGCCCCGGGCCGCCGCCCGTCCGCGCGGACAGGGAGAACGCCACCCGCGGCCACGAGAAGAAGACCACGTCCCCCGAGACGTGAACGCGCGGAGCTTGGCGTCAACGAAGGGCGTCGCCATCCCCGGGACACGACACGCCACGACACGACACGCCGCCTGGCCGCCGAGGCGACGCTTTTTCCGGCGCGCCGTTCCGTCTCGCGGTTCGCGCTTCGCGGTGTGGTTCGGCAGGACGGCGACGCCTCGTGACGGCACGCCGACGGCCGAGGGCGAGGCGAGGGTTCAGCGACCGCCCCGCCGCCGGCACCGCAGCGCGCCGAGCCCTTAACCGTGTCTGCCCTTCTTTTGGCCACACACAAAAGCTAATCATTACACGGTCCCATGCCTCCCCTCGCGCCTCGCGCCGCAATGCTCTGCAAGGCTGAGCAAGCTCGAGCAGAGCAGGCTCGCCCCCGGCGTGAAAGCCTACGCCTGCCTATCTGCAGGGGCAGCGGCGGCAGCGGCCCACGCGCCGGACACGATCCGAGCGTGCATACAATCAGCTGCAGTTCGTCGGGGCGTTTTCGAAACGGGAAACTTGGCGCTGGAGTCACTAGTCGCTGACGCCGGAAGCCAGTCGCGGCGCCAGCAAATGAAACCCAGAGGGATTTTGAAGCTGGGAGAAAGGAATGACATTCGCTTTTCACCTCCAGAGCAATCTCCAAATTGTGGGGGCTTGTTCCCGGTCCACCCGTCCAACCATTTTCCGTGTGCGGAACCCCACCGCCGTCGTCGTCGTCCTCGCTTGGCGCCAACCCGCAGGGCCACCCCGCCGTGCCGTGCCGTGCGTGCCCCGGGCCTTGCCGCCTTGCCGCCTTGCCGAGGGCGACTCCGCCGTCTCCACCGAGAAGAAAGGAAGAAAGGCAGACTGCTGAGCGCTGCGCCGCACTGCTCGTCGCGACGCGTCCCGGCGCCAGCCACGCTCCGCGCCGCTCCGCGCCGCTCCGCGCGCCGCGACGCCCGCGCGCCGCACGCCGGCCACGGTTTTTGGCAGTGCACTTTTTGGGGAAAGCTCCGGCTGGCTCCGGCCGAAGGCGAGCGAGCCGGTCGGAGGTAGCGGCGGCTGCGGAGCGCGGCGGCGAGGCGGCGTGGCGGCGCGGCGGCGTGGCGGCGTGGCCCGGCGCGGCGCACAACATTTTGGGAAAACTTTCACTCTCGCTGGCTGTGCTGCTGGCCGCGCTGGCCCGGCCCCGCCAGTTGGGCCCTGCCTGGGCACTGTCTGGCCCCCCTGGGCCCTCTACGCGCCGCAGCAGGCGAACCTCGAGCTGCACGCAAATGCGTTAGCACGCCCGGAAGGCGTCTGACTGAACCAGTGCGCTTCAGTCGAGCCTAGTCCTCCCGTGGATTGGAAAACAAGACGACAGTAGGGTCCTGGGTATGGTTCCCGAAGGTGGAAAGCTAATACTGCAGTCATATGACGTGGCAGAGCACTGCGAACATACTCTCCTACTGACTTGCAAAGTAAAACGATTTAAACAAATCCCGGAAAAAATGACTCCAAAGCTTCGTCGCGAATTTCCGGAGGCTTCTATTTTCTGGCACTGTTATGTTTTTCTATGTTTCTGCGCTTTACCTTTTGGTAACTCAAACAAAATAGAAACATAGGAGATTCTGGAATTTTCCGAAGGTCAGAGGCCATTTTTTCCCTCCAAAAGAACTCTCCGAGTTTCCGAGATTTTTTTAAGAATACGTATAGCGCTGACGCCCAGCCGCCACGCCGCCCAGCGTCCATTTTCCCTTGCAGCGTCCCAGCCTTGCCGCGCCCCGCCGCCGGTCCGGTGCGGTCACTGCCGACTCCCGGAGCAGCAGCAGCTGTTTTAATTACCGCGCCATCCCATGCACACCGCCGCTGCTGTTGTTTTTGTTGTTTTTGCTGTTTTGCTCCGCGATAAGGTTACTGCCCTTTCTTTTGGGGAAAACGCGCGCGCGCCGACGCCGTCCGTTCCACCAACACCCACGCTGTCTTCCTCTCCCTTTCTCGGCCCGGCAGCCCGGCAGCCCGGCAGGCCCGGGGGCAGCAGGCAGGGCCCGGCACGGCCGTGCATAATCAAACGTTTCATTATGTTATTTTTCGGCCGCACTGTGCCTGCTTATCTCGCGCGGAGAAATTCGCCGAGGCCGCCGTCGTGGTGCCGGGCCGGGCCACGGGCCGCCCCGCTCGGCCGAGGAGGAGATTCAACAACGCAGGTCGTGGGTTCTCAGGACTATCAGTGACAGGTGGGAGGTGGGCTTGTTTAAGCATGTGTAATTTCGCTTTCCGACGGACAGGTTCTGGCCAACAACAACAACAACAACAAAACAACAGCATGAGCGGCGGGGACCATGAGTAAAGTTCAAAAATGTCAGATGTTTTTTTTTCAATTCCAGGTTCAAATTTCTCTCCCGCTGATAGGTTTCTGCCCGCGATTATTCGGCCACGCCTCGCCTTCCCGGGCGAGGAAAAGAAGTCGGCGTCCGAGTCCAATCGTCCAATCAATCGCATCGGGTTCCGGCGACCGCGTGCACCGCGTGTGCCATTCTGCCGCTCCAGCCCGCCATTCTGGCCGCCGGAGCGACCGGAGCCATTTCTTGCACTCCTCCTATCTCGGCCGGCCGGCTGGCTGGCTGGCTGGCTGGCTGGCTGGCTGGCTGCGGCCCGGGCCGGTACCCGGAAGGCTGCTGCGCCGCGACGCTCCGCGGCGAGGGGAGGGGGGCCTTGTGGGCGGGGCGGGGCGGGGCGGGGCGGGGCGGGGCGGGGCGGGGCGGAGTGCAGCCGACGTAGAAAGCACTTTTCCTTTCGCCGCTGCCGCCCGCCCCGCCCGCCCCGCCCCGCTGCCCCCTCCACGCCGCCCCTTCCCGCGGCGCGGCCGTTCCTTCCGGGTCGTCCGGTGCACTTCCCCGCCCCGCCCCGCCCCCCTTTCCCCGCTCACCTAGAGACGGATTGTGTCAGAGCGCACAATGTGGAGCGTGGGGCTGCGGCGGCGGTGCAGCGCGGTGCAGAGCCATTGGCGGCGACCCAGTCGCGACTCGCAGTGCAGGAACTGCAGGAAGCGGAGCAGGCATCACACGCCTCGCCCCGCCTCGCCCCGGGCAGGGAAGTCCCGGCCGGAACCGCCTGGCCTGGCCGGCCTACCCTCCGGGCGTCTCATTGCTCTCATTCCGAGCTCCGCGCTGCGCTTTCGTCGCCCCGTCTCTCTCGCGCCAACACGTGGTGCTCGTCGTTCGTCAGAACGGAGCCGAAGTGGAGCCGCGTGGAAACGAAAACAAAGACAACGGGCCGGGTCACTGCCAAACGACGTCAGGGCCGCGTCGCGTCGCTTCGCGCGTGCGGGCCGTCGACGCCACCGCCAGCGACACCGCCCGCGCGGTGCACGGGCCCGGCGACGCATGCCGAGTCCGTGCCCGAGAATGATAACGACCTGATTTGGTAGTTTAAACGCCGCCCTACCGACCCTGCCCCCTGCCCCGCGGCGGCGCCCGGTGCGGGCACGAGCGGAGGCGTTGCGAAGCTCGCGAAGCGCCCCGAACACGCCGCGCGGTGCACTCGCGAGAGTGCGAGTGAGCTCATTATAGCTCCCTCCGCGCGCGGCCGTTCGCACTGCATAGCACACCATTCGCCATTTCGGCCAAAACGGAAAAAACATGGCGAATTCTGGTGCCGCTGCCGGCACGCCCGGCCGTGGCAGCGTGCCGCACAACACGGCCCTGCACAGACAACCCTAACGAATGGAAAAGCCAATGACACGCCTGCCTTATAAACGAGGTGTGTCCCACTTGCGCGCACTCACACCACCACACACCGACTCACACCGACACACTCACACACCGAAGCTCGCGCTCACACACTGGCGCCCTCGCGGAATGCGAGCCGGGTCTGGCCGGGCACGCGGCGGGGAGCTTTATTGCGCTTCCTGCACGACGACCGGAACAACAACAACAACAAATCGAAAACAACAACAACGGCAAGGCGGTGGCGGCGCGAATCGCTTCCTCGCACCGGTCCGGCGCGGCGCGCCGTTTGAGGGGAAAAGTCGGGAAAAGTGGAGATTCGGCGGGCGAGGCGCACCCCTCGCTGCGGTGCTGCGCTGCCGCGACGCGACGCGACGCACACGACGACGTCTTTCTCTGGCCGGCATCGGCATCCGGTCGGACCGGCCGGCCGAGCCATCCCGTCGTCGTCACCACCGTCACCAGGCTGAGCTTCGCGGAGCCATGGCGGAGCCGCAGCGCCGTATGACGCGCGTCGGTCGCGTCAAGAGTAATCGGGCAAAAGGAAAAGAATGACGAGCAGTTAGTCGGCTATCAGCTCGACAGGCCGATTCGTCTTGGATCCCTCTACGCCGCGAACGTGGATGCAAACGAAGCGCCTCCTAGACTGATAGCGAGAGTCGTTTCCGACGCGCTGTCTCTCTCGCACTCACGGGGCGTCTCGTGTAGGCGCGAGAGAGACAGCGACGGAAACGGCT